TGCGCTTGGGAGAGCGAGTGTGTGGTGGTACTTCCAGCATGGCTGCACCTTCTGGCAGAGATCGTGGTTTGCGATGGCCATCCCCGGCTGTTGTGTGAGTGTGAGACTTTGCCATCAAGCAGTTTGTCGCAAATTTGGTTATGTTTCTGCCCAGTGCATATCAATTTGCGAGAGTGTGTGTGTGGTGGTGTTTCCAGCATGGCTGCACCTTCTAGCAGAGATCATTGTTTGCGTTGTCCAAGTGCTCTTGTGTTATTGTGACTTTGCCATCAAGCAGTTTGTGGCTGATGATGTTTTTTCTGCTGCGTGCATATTGGCTTGGGAGAGCGTGTGCGTAGTAGTGTTTCCAGCATGGACGCATGTTGTGCCACAGGTGTACAGGCACCCACGTTGTATGAGTGTGTTTGTCGTTCATGGATTGTGAGCAGTCATGCTTTCGGCACAGGTTTGGTTGCAACAGAGAAACTGACGATGGGCGGCTGCCGATGGAGGTCGCTTTTAGTTTTCTTGAGGTGGTGTGCTGATCGTGGCAATGCACGACTGTTGGCAATATGTTGCAACAAGTGTTGCTTTGCCAATTTTCGAATCTGTAGCTGCCAGTTGCCATGTTAGGATGAATATATCAGTTGCAGACTTACTCCAAACCGACCTTGGGATGAGCAACTCGAGGTTGGTCTGACAATTGCAGTGCTTTTCAAGTCATTTCCAGTACACCACAGGTCTCCAAATTGCCAGCGAAATGTTTGTGTTTCCGTGGCGCAGGTCACACCATCTTTGAAGGCCAACAAGAATGGAACCAAGCCCATCACCTGGGACAATTGTGGGGCAGTGGGAAGCAATAAATTGGGCTATTTGCAGAAATGTTTTATTGTGGGTTGTCATAGCTAGCTTATGTGACCAATGTAGACTAGCCTTGATTGGTTAGGATGTGCTTGCACCAGTTTGGTTTGGTACAAAAGACAGCAGATGTAAATAGGGGCCCATGGTTGTAGCCGTTAGCTGATAATGTAATAAATGATTGCTATGGAAAGGGACTGAAGTGCGTGTCATGATAGGCTGTCCAACACGGATGACGCCTGGAAATACACAATAAAGTACACAGAAAACCGTGTTAAGCAATCGAGTGGTCAGGCGGACCACCAGTGGGTGGCACCCCAAAGGACCCAGCTTTTACACGATAAATCGTGTAAAGCGTGTTAAAAAATCGTGTAATTCACAGACGGACTGAGTACCCAGTGGGTACAACCCCAAAGTATCCTATATTTTACACGGAAAACCGTGTCGCGTACTTGATAAGGGGGTGAGTACCCAATGGGTACCACCCGATAGCACCCAGTTTTTAACACGAAAAACCGTGTCATGCATGCAACAAGCATGCTAAATACCCAGTGGGTAGCACCCCCGAAGACACGATTTTTACACGAAAAATCGTGTTCCAACTTGGCCTGCAAGACACGCACAACAACACGCAAAATCGTGTTAGTACACGGTGGACAAAAGTACACGATGTCCAAAACTACACGATGGCCAAAAAAGTACACGATCATAAACTACACGATCAACAAAACCGTGTAATTTTTCCAGGAAAAGTACACGATGAAAGTACACGAAATTGTCCACCTTACGTCCATGCACAACCCGATTTTTTACACGGTTTTACACGATTTAACCCGTGTACCAGCGCCAACCGTGTAAAATCGTGTAGCAAAGTACACGATTTTTTACACGATTTTTACACGGTTTTACACGATTGTACACGATTGAACACCGTGTAAAAATGCCGATTTTTTCCTAGTGTCACATGGCTTGGTCTTTGCGTTACGGCTCTAGATTTATGTTTGCGTTTTAAGCGTAAAAATGTGTAAATAGAGAAACGGCCATATTTACGCATATTTAACGCTCGTTGACAAGCCCATATTACAAGATGATGTCCCAAACAAGGATCAGTCTTCCGTTCCATCCAGCGCTGCCAGCGCAGCGCCCGCCTCGCCCTCGGCATGAGCAACGACGTCGTTCACAACAAGGTCATTTGCGCACATTTCAGCGCGTCTATCTGCCACTCCCTGGACTCCCTGAGTCGGTATGTAGTACTATTGTCTTTAAGTACGCAAGACTTATTTTTACGCATTTTCACAGGTATATACGATCAAAAAACGTAAAAACCATTTTCGCTCGAAAGTGGCCGTGAACAGGAAAGTGGTAACGCCGTAAAGACCAAGCCCGCCACTCACGCCGCAGCGCAAGCATGTACCCTATGACATCTGCGAAGTGCTTTGCTACCGACATGACTCCCTTCGGAGCTGTCACTCGCCCCTCACTGCAGCCAGGCGCCGCGACGTGGAAGCCCCAGATCCGCGTGATGCACACCGCAGGTCGCAGCCACCACCTCGACAGACGAAGTGTTATTAGGTGCAATTGTTCTGAAGTACGTCTTTAAGTGCGTGTGACTAAAAGTTTCCCAAACTTGCGTATGTACGCAAATAATGTATTGTTGCGCGCCCTTGTAAAGGGCCAGCCGTACTGTCAAGCCTGCAGGACGGTGCCGTCCTGCGAAGCGGTGAATTTCCTGCATTCATGCACGACAAGCTCATGGGATGGCAGGATTCCCGCCACGGCAGTGAGACAATGCGACAGTAGCAAGGCAGAACATAGAAGGGCAGGGTGGGCTTTACGGCGCAAACACTGAGAGTTTACGCGTATTTACCCGTAAAAATGGTATTTGCACTTTTGCGTGTAAATGCGCGTGAAACTACGTGAATCCTGAAGTGGTGTGCACAAAGACAGTACACGCAGATTCAATGAGTGCAGGGAGTGGCAACCAGAGGCGCTGGAGTGGGCGGAAAACGGCTTTTTGTTCGGTGACGTCTTTGCCCTTGCTGAGACGCGTGGACGCCGTGGTGCGGGTGCTCGAGGGGGGGGAGTACTGACCATTGTACGCAAATTCGTTATGTAACGCGAGTGTTCCAACGAGTCGTATATATAGCCGTAAAACAATCCCTTTGACATTTTTACATTTTTACGAGTAAAAACCCTGAATCCAAAGGTAAAGACCACGCCCGTGGAAGGGCATACAGTTTTGCTGCCAAGTGACTGGCTAGCCTTGTTTCGCTAGGAAAAAAAGCGCCAAATAACACGTGTTCAAACGTGTACGAAATCTAAGGGTTTGGGTTATTTCCACGTTTTCGGCATGCAGAACACTGGTGAAATGCATACATGTGTGTTTGCAAAAAGTGCTATTTGGCCCTTTTTTTCCTATTGTTTCGACCATTGATGTGGCTCGACGATGTTGGAGGGTGTGCAGGTGAGCAGGCCAGTTTGCTTTGAGCTGCCATTGCGGTGATGCCTTACCAAGAAGATTATGAAAATGAAATACAGCCATTGCCTATTCCTACTCCCAAATGTCCACGCAAAATGGCGGATCGCGCACCACGGGAATCGCGGCACACCAGCTACAACATTGTCAATAGCTGGTATTCTAGTAGCGTCACCAAAATAGCCCCACTTTCCGCGATGAGAAACATAGCGCCAGGCCGCGCAGTCTTCAATCATGAAATATTCTTTGCGCTGCACACCTTTCTCGCTGAAATTCCTTTGATTCTTTTCTGCATGCACGCGTCCAGAGCGCGCCAAGCTCGTATGATGCTTAAATTCTGCCGCTTGTACAACCTGACGGTTAATCTTAATTCGGGTGGCGATGCATCACCACGCAGCAACTAGGAAACCTTGGTCACCAAGGCAACCTTCCAGCCGTTGGCAGTCGCTGGACATTGTCCTTTCCCACCATTTCTTCATCCGTTGGGCCGGGATTTATTGTGGGATCACCAAGTTTACTTCTGACGACCATCAAGCATCTTTCGCCGATCGGCGAAATCTGTTGCACAGGCTCTGCGCTCTCTGTGCTGGCAGTGGACCGTGCGTCCTGCTCGCCATCCTGTCGCGTAGACTTGCGCCCATCGATAGCAACCCGCAGAACCGCCATGTCTGGCATGGGCGTAATCACGGGCCTGGAAGGGGCTGCTCGCGAGCTCTTTTTCTCACACTGTGAAGAGCTTTCTAGCATTTCCCTTACTTACGCTGCCTTTAGTGTAATTCTGTTGTCTCTCAGCATCCAAATCCTGGGCCACGTAACCCTCTTTGGCGTCCATTAAGCGCTAACCATGTAAAATTTAAGATAATGTCTTCCCTGATTCCTGTTCTGCATGAAAAACAATGAGACCTGCAACAGCTCACAGCGACAGTATATGGTAAATTGTTGAACGAAACCATTGCAAGCATGCTATACCCCACCCAATGCATCTGCGCCGCAAGGGTGGGCCCCAGTTGCCTCACATGCCAGGGCTTGAAGGTGGCATAACTGGGGGAACTCAAGCAAATGACCCTGGGGGACTGAGTTGATCTCTGATGAGGGGTTGAGATTCGCTGCTGAATTGATGTGTCTGAAGATGGGCAGGATGCAATGCATAGCAGGTGTGGATTGTGCTGCGCTTAAATGTGCTGCCTTTCGACACTGCTTGGGTATTGAGTGACCGCCACGGCAAAACCGACTCTGCAGGTGATAGTATTACTGCGGGTAAAGATTCTGACGCTTTAGTCTGCAGCGCCGTGGCGGAAACAGTGGCGTCGGCATATCTGAGCTGGCGGCTATATCACATTAGACAAACACTCATCGAGTTTGATCAAATTTTCCATGGTATAAGTCATGTTGAAGTGGTGAATTTGATTGTATGCGGTACCAACTCACACAACTTCAACCACAAGGTTCCCGGTGTTGGACCAATGACTTGGTTCTGCCAATATCAACATTATCTTGTGGAAGATGTCAGCCAATGTAATTAGTAAGAAAGAAACCAAAGAAAGAGCAAATGGTTCGCAAATGGTTCGTTCCATGTCTGACATGTATAGGCAATTATAGGCATCGAAGAGGTTGTGCTCAGGAACTTTATCACACAATATGAAGTCCATTTATACGGCTCAAATTGATTCCATTTTAGTGCAATCTCTTAGCATCCACTTTGCCTCCCACTTAGCCTCCCTGGAGCCCTGAGCGTGATCAAGCTCAAAATGGTGCCATTCCTACGTACAAACATCTCCAGAGTTTTGTTGTCTTCAGTTCTGTATAAATTGAAATACCACTGACCCAATACATTTGCCACCCTGGCGGCTGAATCATGGGCAACGCAACGTTCATCAAGCAACAGTTCTGCTGAATGTCTTCCAACTTTCACGGCAGTGGAATGGCCCACGACAAGGCACATCACCCCTAACATGAACTGACAAGTAAACCCTTTGCATAAAAAGGTGATTCCACTGTTGCAGCGCATGATGCTGCGCACAGGCACGCACCTCCTCATACGCTCGTAATGCGCGGTGCCCAGAGCCCGCGAGGAAAGCAGTGTGTGTCACCACCACAGCCAACGGTCGCCAACGGGAACAATTTTTTGCACGCATTAATTTTGCCAACAGTTCAGGAACGTCCAACGCGCAGGGCCCCATCACGGCCGCCTGAAACACCCATAATACCCTCACTCCTCTGCCATGGCCACAATCTTCCACCCCTCTTGTCCGCTCAAGCCTTGGCCGCCGTCCATCCTTCGCTCAACTGTGATGGATCCCCAAATTGTATGAGCTTCCGCAACTCGCTGCCGCCCCCTTCCCCCCCACGGGCCCCGTTCAAATGCTATTACTGGTGCCCATTTTGCCTTCCTCAGCCACCAACCACGTCTGGAGACAACTCGCCCCCTTTGAAAGCTGGTCGCCAATTACTCAGATGCCCATGCCCACCTGCGACGCTGCAAGCACACGTCACGAGCGTCGCTGGCAGGAGGGCCACAGGCCGGGATTCGACAGGGCAGAAGAAGCCGCCGCCACCAGGCTGTAAAAGCTCTGCAGCACGTAGCTGGGCCCAGTGGGCTTGATTCCGTGCGCGTTCAGCAGCTGCTCGATGTCCTTGTCCAGCAGATATATGGCGTACGCGAAGCGGGACCTGTCAGTGCCCTGGTAGTACAGGGGGAATACTTCTGGTGCAACCGGGCGCCCTGGGGAGGTTGGGCTTTTCCTCCAGGGTCCACTTGTGAGCCAGCCGTTGCCTGGCAGCACAACACACAATGTTCAACAGCCGAGCGCCGCAGCAGGATGAGGAAACAAATGGCAGCGAAGACGCCGCCAGCACCAGTGCTCGCATTGTCGTCCCAGCTGTGGGGATGCTCAAAGGCCTGCTAATGCCCGCACTGCTGCAAAGTTATCGGATTTCTGACTCGTGCAGAGAATCTGTGGCTGACAGACTCTAAGGGCAGCGTGTGGCTGTGCACAAATCGTTCTGTTTCACATTGCATCGATGCGTTCATCAGGCGACGTGTGACCTGAATTCGTGTTCCCCCGTGGAATGCACGTGGAGTATCAGTACAGCACAGTTCAGTACCCTCTTCGCTGTATCTCGTAGGCTGGCTTCTTCTGATTGGATACATGCAAAGGACTATTCTGCTGCTATAAGCATTGGAAGTGTGATTGCAAGGTAGGGCAACGTTTGCAGACCTGTTGTGCGACTGAGGGACTACCTCCCTAGCTAGGCATTTCGCCTTGGTTCCAACCTCGGCGTCTAAGGACTCCGAATTTAACACGAAGGAGCCACTCCATCGTATTGCACTGTAGGTTGTGAATGGTGTGCACGTCTAGTCTTCTCGCTATGTTGGCAAGGCCCCCCCGTCGCTTTGAATGTACACTCCAGTGGCCTTTCAGGGTCGAAGGGAACCAAGAGTACAAGCACACACGATTCTTCACTTGACAGTTAGGAAAGGCGCACAAAAGTAGTTCACGGAACTGGGGACCCCGAGACTGTCGTGGTGTGCTGACAACACAGCACAAGGGACCTTCTGCATAGCAGATGTGCCTTGCAGTTTGCATGCATGAGCCCATCCCTAACACCATAAAGGTTTTCAGCTTCGGCGTCGGCAATCAAACATTCATAAATGCACAATTTGCTGAGTGTTGTGACAACATCAAGTGCACTTGTGGTGGACTTTGACACTCCTCGCTGTTCCCAGATTTTTCTGCAAGGGCAGAGGGCCAGCCATTAAACATCTATTGCAAGCCAGTGCTCCTCTGCATGTTGGTGAAGAGGGCACTCTTCAGAGCTGCAGCTCAGGATGGGGCGGCCTGTGGGTATCCTGGCTTCCACACAACAACAGCCAATCTCCCAAAAGTCACCTCGAACACAAAAATTGGTGAGCAGTGCTCTGACACAAGCACTCGACAACCATCAGCACCATCTCGGAGCTGGGGCAAGTCTTTGTTGGTGATGACAGACACCTAGATGGCATGTGCGCCCCTGCTCTGCATGCGGTGCTTGCAGCTGCTCCCAAGTTCAGATTACCCTTGCTTTCCCTGCTTCCTGGTTCTGAGGACTGGGTTTCTGGGGTTGGTGACTCGCCAGTCACTGTTTGAAGAATGCAAGCAATTCACTGTCACTATTGGTTTCATAATCTGCATGGATGTGTACCGTAGTCCCTGCCAACTGCATAGAACTGGCAACAACCTACCCAGACAGCAGAACATCAAATAATCCACCAATCAAAATGATGCAAAACGTCTGTGCCAGTCCATACCTTGCACATCCATGTGATCCTCTGCGGGTGCACAGTTGTAGATGAGAGACCTTGAGCCTTTGGGGTAGATTGGAAACCTGGGTGGTACATCGAGGTATAGCCCAAGCAGATGAACCATGTGTGCGACGTAGCCTAAGGCAGCGGCCGTGCGCTGGCACTGGTCAGGATCGCTGGACCACCCCATGAGACCATCCACCACCTGCTTGACGAGTCCAGGGGGCAGATCCAGGCCAACGACTGATAGTAATCCAGACTGTTGGTTCCTGCCGAATCAAAGAGCATTCGCAATCAGGCATTCACAGCATCACTGTGCTTAACTTCCTTATCTTCCTGGTCACGGTTTTGTCCCATCCTGCACTTTGAAGAGGTCATGAACGGAGCAAAGATCGACATGTTCCACCTCCAGTGGAAGGGCATTGGTGGTCCTGCTGGGATTCAACCAGGGAGCCAATATGCAGCCACAGCACCCACCTTTCTTCACTGCACATGTGCTAATAATGCGCATGTAACCTTTTCACTACACCCCAGGCAGCCAGCAAAGCATTACTGATGGTCACTGTGGTGCGCCTGAATATTGGCTATTGATGAGAAACTGACCATATTCATTAGAAGATCGCAATTCGCTACTCTATGATAAGATGTTCGCAAGGGGAATGGTCATGCCCTGCTAGGACACAAGCCAAGCATTCGTTTGGGGGCCTTGGTAGACAGGGTGGCAAACACCTACAGACATGTATGTTTATATGTGAGCAAGGGAATCGCAGATGATTATCATATGTTGGTGCCGAATCCTGGATCAACCTGGCGCTTCCATGTGTAGGACTTCAACACTCCTGTGATGGACGTTGCCTTGACTGACACAAAGTTTCCTTGCCGGTCCAGCCATGTTGCTTCAGCTGCGGTCTGCAGCGTTCACTCCGCGTCTGCTGTTGGTGAAATTGTGCATTGTGTATAATAGCGAATGCTTGCAGCAACAGTCCTAAAATCTTCATATATCCATAGGTTTCAGGGTTTCACGGCTTGGGCTTTGGCTCCAGGAATTAATGCACAACATATGGCGTCGCTGAATTTGCTGCAGGAGCTTCGCAGTCTGTGGAACCAGTGTGCTGGAGTGCTATTGGATGTGTTTACTTTAGCATGGGTTGCAGAATGCAGATTCCAAACATTTGTAAGCAACTTGTAGCTTTTCTTCTGCCCAAGCAAGTGCATGCCCGTAGTTCACAGAGCGCCATATGCAGGGGCTTGCTCTCAGCCTTAGCATAGAGATGGACACTACGAGTGTAGTATTTGGCACATAATTCTCATGCTGGACACAGTTCCAACCCTCTCTTGCAAGGTGACAAGGGCATTGCTTTCCACACTTTACCATTTTATGAAAGGAATCACAGGGGAATTTGTGTTCAGGGGTAAATGAGGGTGTGTGCCTGTTGTTGCCGTGTACCACTAAACATGCAGCATGCACGTAGGTTCCATCACCAATGTGGACATGCCCATTCATGAGTGGCAATCATTTCTTTATTTTGTGCTGTTCCAATCATGCTGTTTGGGGCCTGCCCAAAATGGCTAATAAGCATCGACAGTTGCGGCTGCGATCAAAAACCGTCACAGGATTTGCACAACTGTACATTTATGTATGGGGCCAACACTGGTCAACAGAAGGGAACAATATTCAAGCTTCAGGACATAGATTCATTAGCACAGGCCGGAAATCTAAGCTGTAAAGTGCTGAGCCTTCATGTACCCAGATGGACAACAGCAACAGCAGCAATACCCATCCACACATACCCGCACAGACCAGAGGGCGTGATACAGACATAGACAGCTACTTACCGCTCAATTTCAGCAAAGGATGTGGGGTTCTGTGCCGCATCGCTGCCCATCCACCACTGCCTATCTATCTTCTCATCCAACGCCCTTGCCTGCAGCATTGGGTCAGCTCCACTTCTTGGACCAACAGAATACAATTTGGAGAGACCCATCACCAATCGACACCTTCGACTTATCAACTGGGCACTCAGGCCTGCATGCGCCACAAGACTACATGCATCAGTGCACCATATAGCACATGATACACCAGCAACATGCCAACTTATCACTGCAAACCCCAAAGATGAAAAAAAGGCAACCGGCCTTGCTTATGAGTTCAGGACATTCAGCCTCGCATCGAATTTTCAGCCAAAAGGGCAGATACTCAGGCGCACACTGATTCAGAATGCTTTCCAAGGCGTCATACAAGCCAGTACACAGAGTGCAAAGCACCGCTTACCATGTCATCCCTCTCTTGCCCCACAGAAAAAAGTCAAGATTGTGGCAAAATCCAAAACAAACTGCTATGCCACTCCTTTACTCAAACTTTGTAGCAAAGTGACGAACCACTGCCCTGACACCTGTAAGGCGATGATGGGCACCATGCATGTTCAGCAACATGGCGGCAGCCCCAGCCCTGATTTCCAGTGCACGGATTCCCTTGAAGCCAACAACTGAGAACTGTAGACATTCTGTGCAGGTGTGGCATGCCAGGGGCTAATTAGGCACATCATGGGCACAGCATCACCTCTCAGTTGCCCAAGACCATTCTCGCCCTGGAGGACACACTCTGCCTCCTGCCAACGACTGCAGGCGCCCTGCACCATGCACAGTGCAGGTTTTACAACAGGTGGACACAAAATAGGCTGGCGCCCAGGTTGAGCCATTTCAAATTCAAGGGCACACTCCTGAAATGGAATTATTCCTGATCCACCAGAACTATCTTAAACCCAGTCCCGATGACTTTGTGGCGTTTGAGGCAAATGAGCCACACTTGGACTTAGCATCGTTGCTTAGCACAATAAGGACAGCAAATGGTTGATCCTGAAGAGTCTTGAACGTTCCTGGGATCGTCCAATCCACACAACGTTCTGTGTCAAGCATTGTGCAATTTCCCCATTTGGAGAGGGTATACCATCACCAATTTTGCGCACAATGGAGAAGGCAAAGAGATTTTAAGACTTGGAATCTAAGAAAAGTATGTTTGAACTGCAATCCATGTTCTGCTAGCAAGTTGGATTCCCAGGCGACCCTGCATCAGCACCACCTTCACAAGCACATGTTGCCCAATCACCCAACAGCTGCAATAGACACTCTCAAAAGGTTGCACTTCACGGTATTGCTGGATCATGCCAAACAATGGCCATCAAAACCTGTGCACACAATGGACGATCGGAACTTGCAGTGGTCGTTTCCGTGAACATTACCTTGAGAGCCCTTGCTGCCTCTCCCATCACAGCTCCATTGCTGCACTGTGAGCTTCGTTTCTTGGAATAGTCAGCGGCGGCTGACTCCAGATGCTGTTGCGCGACCTCAGACTGCCTCCGGTACGTCTCAGCCTCCTGCCGCAGCTCTGCAAGCTCCTTCATCTGATCGTGCCTTCTCTTGCGCTCAGCCAACATCTCAGACACGTACCTCTGCAGCCGCTGGTGCCTTTCAACAACGTCATTGAGTGCCTTTCGTGCTGTGATCAGCCGACGAATGTCCGCCCGGCGCTCAGCAACGTCATATACACGAGTGCCCCGGCTGCGGCCATTCTCAGCACCAGTGCTTTGGTTAGGGCTGGATGATCTGGGGCTTGGAGCAGAGGCAGAGTGTGTCTCGGGGTCCGAGTAGTCTGACAGACTCCGTGCCGCTTCGTTCAGATGCCCAAATGAAGGCACCTGCACAAGAGAAGACGAAATGTTCATCATGTCCATGCAACTCTCCCGCTGGGATGACAATCCTTGGGATAAATTGGCCAACGAGTAAGAAGAACACCCCTCATGCCTCCAATGCTATAAAACAGGCACAAACCATGTCCAGGAAACATGCCAACTGAAACCCAAAGCACAAACCCCCACCCGTGTGAACAATACCAGGCTCCAGAATCTATCTTTCAGCACCAAATGGCAATATGTGTCCTTGGCAACCTTCCTTGACACTGCAACACCTGTTGAGTGAAACAGTGCAAATGCAGATGCATAGTGAAAGACAAGCACCCACCCTTTACAAGGACAACAACACCTGTAGAACGCTGGTGTGCCGATCATCTCTTGCAACGTGCATGGGCTAGGAACTGTGATGCAGCACCAACAAACTGTAGTCTATGAAAATCACATCATCTGCCTGGTGCTGATAGCCTCGCTGCTCAACAACGCTTGAATGCAATGAAGAGAGTGGTTCACACTCAGCGCACAACCACCTCGCATGCATTCAGTCTGAACTGAATGAGTATTGGTTTGGCAAAGGAAAACATACGTGTCGCCACAGCCTCCTGGGAAGGAAGGAGCGGATGAGGCCACCCTCCTCTTTGGCCAGGGATTGCCCCTGGTCCACATCCTCATTGGCAGGGGCGTCTTCCTTAGGGGGAGATGGCTTGGGCCACAGAGCCTTGTGGACCACAGCTGTTTTGGCAGCATCCTCCGCATCATCTCTCTCAGGAGGCACACAGTACCAGCCGTCGGAGAGCTTGATCAGAGCGGTGTTCGAGGGTGTGGGGCCGCTCCCTGCCACAAGAACTTGCACTCAGGATTGCCTCCCGCGGAATGGAAAGCAGCAGTCAGATATAACGTGCCAAGAGTCCCCTGTGGCCTCGACAGTGGTATCCAATCACTGAACGGCATCTCTGCCGGTCATGAAAGCCAAGCAAGCATAGTAGAGCAACGGTAGGGATGGCAGTCACGATGGTTCTTACGCTTCTTCGTCAAGCACAAGAGTTGCCGCAACACGATTCGACTCGAACAACGTTGAGCTGCGCCATAGGCTGTGCAGCCGGTGGCCAGCCACACCGGATACCTTCATCCCACCAACGGCAAGCGCAGATCCCGCCCCAGGAATCTCCACGCACGCCCCCCCCCCGCCGTGGCGCCACACACGCCCCAACCCCTTCGGAACGGCCGATGCCATCCACTGCCCCGCGTCCGCAGCCCCCCTCCCCCGCGCCCAACAAACCGCACAATCGCCCGCAGAAACGCACTCACCCAGCGCGGGCAGCGCGTTCAAATCGCACACCACGTCCAACACCTTCTCGGCGTCCCGGCAGGCCTCCCCGCCGGCCGCCGGGCGCCCAGGCACGGCGAACACGCTGAGACGCAGCCGCCCGGAGTGCGCGCCGTGCACCGCATCGCGCCCGAGCGCGTGCCAATCGATGTCCACCGGGTCCCACTCAGGCTGGCTCGTCAGGTCGACCTGCGGCGCAGCCAGGCGATCAGACGTGGCCGACGGGCGCCCCCCGCGCGCCCGCAGAGGCCCGAGGAGCAGGCCGGAAGAGCAGGTCTGAAGAGAAAGGTCGGAAAAAAGAAGACTTTGCGGAGGGGGTGCGCACCTTCTCGCTGGTGTAGAGCAGGGTGCCCCCGTTTTCGGAGGGGGCAGCCGGCGCCGTGGACAGCCGGTAGAACGCCTGGCCTACGCCACCCGCGCCCAGGGCGTCCCCGAAATCCGGACCGTGCAGCTGGATCGCCCTCAGATGACGCAGCCGTCTGCGGGGCCTCTGCGTGGGGAACAATCAGCGGATCTTAGAACGCCCGGGGCGTCGCGACGATTCTCGAGGAGATGCGTTCCCCGATCGGCGCGCCGGGGCCGCGGCCGGGGCGGCGGTGCAACGTCGCCACGTCCCGCCGGGCATCGCGCCGATTGCCGACATTTCCCGCCTTGCGGGATCGCGAGCCCCTGCCACGCGGCGCGCCCGGGCTCGAGCCTGGATCGCGCCCGTGCGCCGATCCCGGGCGGCGGGCCCGGAGCGGGGCGAATGCCGGCCCACGGGACAGGGAGGCGATTGGCGCGCCCCGGGGCCGATGAGTGGCCCTGCATTCATCGTTGCCAGGGCGCGCGGCAGGGGATGAGCAATCGGCCGGGATGGAGGGGGGGGCGGGCACTCACGAAGGCGACCCGCGCCGCGGTCATCGCAGGGGCAGGCGCTGCGCTCTGCTGCGGCGGGCGCCTGTGGGGAGCGGGCGCCTGGGTGGCGGGGCGGCGGCCATGCGCGGTGGCGCGCTCGCCGCGGGAGGCTGTGCGTCAGGGCGTCGAGCGTGCGAGGCACCGAGCGCACGTGCCGTATGTAAAGCACCTCCCAACCGGGGGGGCCTCCGCGTGGGGGTGTGTTTTGGCTAGCTCCTGTGCGGCTGCAGTAGTTTGGCCGTCCCATTAATTCGGGGCCCGTGCCGAAAAATGGAGCATATTCTTGGCGGGGACAGTCCACGGGACCCAGGTCCAACCGCCCGGGTGTGGAGACAAGTACTGGGAACGGGCGCCGCCGCCGGTGGTGATGTTCATTGGTACTTCGGAGTACCGCACCGGCGGAAAGAGTGGCTGAAGTGGGCGTCCAAGGCGGTAGTGACACAGTGAGCTGGGGACTGGATATTGCTTTGGGGGTTGTTACAGCCACGGCTGAACCATGAAGTTGTTAGCGACGTGTGGCTTATTCATACTCACTTAATGGTCGCTTGGCAAATGACAAAGCTTCGCCCTCGCAAACCGCATTCAGACGGCGAAATGTGAGTGCATATTGCGCAATCTACAGGAGACAACGGGCCAAGGGCCTGGCTCAGTGCCGCATGAGCGTGCAAATTGAATGATGCCAAACCCACAGTTTGGTTCTTGCGTCGTATGGCACATCGCAAATGCAAGGTTTGAAAATGATCCAAACTCAGCACGGTACAAACACGTACAAGAGTTGTGTTTGGAGAGGTAGTGCTTGTTGGTGCAAGGGGATGATGTCTTGGGCCACGGCTGCAATGCTACCTTAGCTGCTTGGGCGGCAGAAACGACACAACGCTCTTGAATTCAGACTGACTGATCAGAACACGGATAGGGCCGGCCATTGTGACACGGTTACAGGGGTCATGAGGGCTTTGGTCCAGATGTCTTAAATATATGCCTTACCTGCCTGGGGTGGGAAATCCTTCCTTACACCGTTGAGCCTACGATATGCAAGATGGTTCGGCTCTTCGCAACAGATGCTGCGTGTTTGAGTTGTCTGCCATTCAGCCTGATATGCACCAGATCGCCATTCAGTCACTGGCAGGCCGCTGGACAACATCCAGCCCTCATTACGTTCCATAAGCGGACGGCAATCTTTGGGCAGCACCACATTGACCGTATAGCCTTCGTTCAAGCCTTCAAAGAAATATGGCACTATGATTCGGCTACGTCCGTACGAGTTGAAATCAATAGAGATCGATGCAAACGGTGGACACGTGCGTGCGTGCCATTCAGTGCTTTCCGACAAGTGGCTAGCCATATTCAATAACGTCATCCCTCCTGCATAGCATTTTCCACCTACCCAGACATTAGACGCGCGTCTAATGCGCGCATTTGCAGCACATTAATCTCCCGCCACGGCCGCAACCTGACGAACCAGTAGGATTGGGCGTTTGTGCGCTTCGAGCTCTGTAGCTGCAGAGCATGCTCTGCGCAGAAGGGCCGCGAGGGCATCGAATGGTGGCCAGTAGGCCAACTGCAATTCCTCCATTATGCTGGTGTTGCTCCCGAGGCAGGCTTGGGTTTTGCGCCGTAAAAACTGATCATATTTACGTTTTTACCCGTAAAATGCGTTAAAATACGTAAGTACAACGTAAAAACTGCGCGGTGTACATAAGGACAGTGCATACACACTCACGGAGTCCGGAGAGTGGCGGCCAGACGCCCTGGAAGGGGCAGAAAATGAGTTTTTGTTAGGCACCATCATCGCCCTCGCCAACGGCGAGGTGGACATTGCGTTGCGGGTGCTGGAGACGGCGGAGGACTGATCATTGTACGCAACTTTCATTGTGTAACCTGGGTGCCCCAGGGAGCCGCAAAAACGTAAAAATAGCGGTAAAAATAGGCCCTTCTGCAAATTTACGTTTTTACGCCTGAAAACGTAAAAGCAAAAGCATAAACGTAAACGTAAAAACCAAGCCTGTCCCGAGGTACCGCAAGCGTCCTCCTCCTCCATTCTTAGGGGCGAGGAGCAGCACCTCCAAAAGCACAAATTTTCTTCCTGTCCCTGGAGATGCGCAATGTCCGTGCGATGCATTTTCGATGACCCACGGTGCAGTCGTCGGCCACCTCCCCCTTTATTTGTTCAGCTGCCCACACATCTCCACAAACACAACCAGCCCACCGCCGGGGGGCCAGTTTGCAAGCCCCAAACGACCGCATCCGCCGCTCTCCGCCAGCGCTCAACCCCTGCCCTTAGGCCCCAAGAAATCGAGTCTGGAACCGCCCCGTCACCCCCCCTAAGCGAAAAACTGCCCTGAGGGCAGTGCCCTCCGTCAGCTACCTCCACCAGCCCAATCCCGGCTGCGCTTCCCTCCCAGGCGCAAAAGGCCCGTGCGGGTCCTTGAGGCCCCTGGCTGCCGCTGGAGGCGCTGGGGTGGGCCAAGCGCGGCATGCCGTCCTTCCTCGCCCGGCTCAAATCCCTGGACGCCTTCCCCAAGGTCAACGAGGACTTCTTCAAGAAGACCTTCTCGGGCGGCGTCATCACCCTGGTGTCCTCCGTCCTCATGGCGGTCCTCTTCGTCTCCGAGCTCAGTGAGTTGGGACAGTGTCGGCGGACTTTAGCAGATTGCCTGCAAACCGCGCGTTCCACTGCTTTCAGGCCCTTGGGAGCATCCAGGCTGTTTCACTGGATAGCGACCCGTGCAAGCCTCCTTTGCACAACACCGCCAGCCGGGTGTGCAGCGCTCAGCGCAGGAGTTGGTCGCGGCCCTGGACCATGAAGATGCATTATAGAGAGAAAGTAAAATGACAGTGCGGGAGGGGGTCGCCCTGTCCGCGCTGTGTTGAATGGCGATCTCGGAAACGCGGCAAATTGCGTGAAGGTTTCTGCCCCCGCGAATTGCCTGCAAGGTGCACATGTTCTGTTATCTATTGCTATTCTGACAACTTCAATTCACGGAAGTTTCTGCCAGGCCATGTTTTTCGTTGTCCGTTCGGTTTTCTTTTCTTTTGTGGCGGGGATTGGGTAATCGAGAACCGCGGCGCGTGCACCTTGGCCGTGTCTAAGCATGCTGCTTTTTCCCCGTGCCTAGGACTGTACTTGACGCCCAAGCTGGGCCACTCGCTAGCGGTTGACACCACCAGATCGGAAACGATATCCATCAATGTGAGTGCGTTAATTCCACCGACACGGGAAGCCTTTAAGCCAGAGCAAAAATCACGTGCACACAGTTGCATGACGCAATCATTCACTCCTAACATTCATTAAGGCGGCGCTTAGCATGTGCCGTAGATGCACTCTAACGCGCCACAGGCATTGGGAGGGATGAAGCAGAGTGTGAAATGAATTGGGGAACTCGATGCAACTGAATGCGAAATGCATTTCTTGACAGGGACAGCCGAAAATTTGGCAGACATTGATGCAATGCTGCGGTTGCATTACCTTTGATGCAGTGCCCAGTAACCCTTCAGTGATGGTCCAACTGCCTATATTTACCGGCGTTTATGCATGTGCCAGCATTGCGTCAATGCTGATTCGCTGGGCTGGCTGCAGCACTTTCCGGCGTTTCGCCACTGGTAGTGTACACACACCGCCGCATCAACGTCGACGTCTGATGGCGCCGACGTCTACACATCTTCCAAATGGAAGGATTGCTTAACGCCGCTAATGCGGCTGTGCAGCCTGTCCTCCTTGCTGAATTCAACTGCACCGATTTGTATTTATGTCGTTAGGTGCTGCGAAATATTCGAATGCAGCTATGCAAATGTTTAACGTTTGCCGGATGTCGAGCCAATATTCTTGCGGTCACGTTTCGTCAACTGAACGCAATAATTTGAGAGCTGATGGTTTTATTCAACTTATTGTGACGGATGTGTATTGCCAGTACGGCACGATGGAAAGCCGTCAGTATGCACCACAATGTGGGAACTTTAATGTTAAGTGCATTGCGATATAACGCGCACTTTATACTGTGTTTTATCAAACGAACTGATGCACCAATAGTCTATTCTACCATTCCCAACTTGCATTCGCGATGCAGCTTTGATTCTTGAGCTGTGAACTCAAGCTCGTACGCCATCTTGGATGTCGTGCGCACTCTTTAGTGTTAGAATTCCAGTTTCAATTGCAGAAATACCATGAGAACCTTCGCGGATCTTACAATACGCGTTTATCTGCAGTTCGATATCACATTTCCCAGGATGCCATGCTCGTGGATGAGCCTGGACGCCATGGACATTAGTGGGGAGCTGCAGCTGGGTGTGGTGAGTCCTAGCTGTCGGGAATTGCAAGCTTCTGGGAGATGTCCCATGAAGCCCAATGGGCATTCCAGTGTGTTCGCTCCACCGCAGCAGAGGACATGACATGCAACATTGTTTCAGCAACATGCGGGACCTATAGAAAGGTTGCTTGTAGGTAACAGCATCTTTGACGTCGATCAGCATCGCTCATCCCCAGCAATGGGGAAGAAGTCCCTCTTTTCTTAGAAAGAAATAGGTGCCATCATCCCGATTGGCAAAGTGCGTTGGAAATCTACGGGCCCCATGTAAATGATCGCCTTTCTTCAAACGTGCCGCATTTGAATATGTGCTGAGGAAGCCAGCTCCGATCAATCAAATGTGGTCTAAGGAGAAATATTCTTTGCTACTCGGCGAGGTGTAGGATCACGAGATTTACAGGAGGCGGCTTGATCCCACGGGAGACGCCCTGGACAATGAAGAGCAGCATGACATCACGCTGGGAAAATCCCCCCGCGAAAGAGAACTGAAAGAGGAGTACTGCGGAAGCTGCTACGGGGCAGAGGAGAGGGATGGTCAGTGCTGCAATACATGCACTGAGGTGCGAAATTTTGCACTGCACAGGGCACAGACACGCATGCACGCTTCTGTGGCAGGACTATTTGTTGGCTGTGATGGAGTGGCCACAGAACACGGTGATAATTTCGTTCGATTTGTTCGCTTCTTTAGGGTTCATGCACGTTACGACAAAAGAGAAAATATGTTTCATCGCCGTATCGGACGATCAGAAGTTCAGCTTATTGGTTTGAAGCGAAATGGAAAATGAACCCTGTCAACTCGTGCTCTGGAAATTGAGACGCGCCTTACCTTTTGCCCTTTCCATATGGAAATGTGAAGTGCGAATATCTATTTCATCCAGTGAATAATTAGATATTGTATAGAATAAATAGAATATTTCGCAAACGCAAAATAAATGTCAACATTTAGAAGCCAAAACCTTGTTCCGATGAATTCCGGGCCATTGGCTCCAGCGTGGCTTGAATTACTGCAAGCCCGCCGGAGATCTATGCATATAATGATCCACGGCAGTTAAATTAAGAAACTATGGATTTTACGCAAATACTCAAGTACGTACACCCAACCCGACAGTTGCTGGGAATCCAGCAGCCTTGCAGAGTTTGAGTTGGCTACAGCTCAGACACGCTTGTTGTGCATTGATCTGGGACATTCTCTTCGCCTGCTCCACTATGGCATTGGTAGGCACTGACGCCTCCATTTTCAGACTGATATTCGGAATCGAATAAACCGCAGTTTGCCCCACAAACCCAGAATCGCCGCGCGGCAACGCCCACTGCAGCAAAGTTGCAGATTACTGCGTGCGCATAAGCCGAATCGGATATCGGATGTCGCATTCCTCCCAACGGTTCACGGCACAATCGTCGGTAGGCATTGACGAGCTTAGCGGTTGACGTTTATTCTTGAAGAACTAATATCCGTTTGCGGAGAAGTGTTAAGCGTCTAGCAATTTGTGGTACTTGGCAATACCATTTTTCCAAAACGGTACTGTTCTTCCCGTCGCTCAACGCCCCCCCCATCCACCCTTCCCTCCCCTGCAGGTCCACGACGCTTACCGCAAGAAGGGGTGGGCCGTAAAGGCGGCCTCGGGGGTGGAGCAGTGCGAGAGCGAGGGCGAGGAGCACCGGCTGCGCGAGCAGCAGGGGGAGGGCTGCGCACTGTGGGGTAGCCTGTCCGTCAACAAAGTGGCCGGAAACTTCCACTTCGCCCCTGGCAGGTCTTACCAGAGGGGGTCCGTCCACGTGCACGACCTGGTGCCCTTTCAGGACAAGGACATCGACTTCAGCCACCACATAGTGTCCCTGAGCTTCGGCACCGTGTACCCGGGGATGGTGAACCCGCTGGACGGTGTGGCCGTGCAGCAGGCCAACCGGGACAACGCCCAGGGGCAGCCCGGCATGTTCCAATACTTTCTGAAGGTGAGAATCCCTTCCCATTTCCGTTCGCATGGTGACTTCTCTCTTTTTTTCTTTTTTTCTTCTTTTGAGATATTATGTTCCAGCTGTGCTAAGCCTTCCATTTAAAATCTGAAGCACTGTTTTAAAATTGCCAAGCTTCTTAGAAATTGACACCGGGCTTTTGCTGCTTAAAACTGGTTCACTTAAAGCGAAATTGTAACGTCAATACCCCAAGAAGCATTCCTCCCCTGCCTTGGATCCCTGCCTTGGATCATGTTTTGCCTGCATTGTTTCATATCCCATTTATGTCAAGAAAAGTCTAAAGCTTGCACATATGCATGAGTCTATACAGCCTCCCATCTTGCCTGTTTTTGGTGACGCTTTCTGAGCTGGATTTTGTAGCGGCCATCTGACAATGATTCTTGCGGCATAGGTTGTTCCAACGGCGTACACGGATGCGAGCAACCGAACGATTCGAACCAACCAAATATCGGTCACCGAGCATTTCCAGACCTCGGGTTTGTCCCCGGAGCACAAACTGCCTGGAGTATTTTTTTTCTACGACTTGTCACCAATCAAAGTGGAGATAAGAGAATACAAGGATTCCTTCCTGCACTTCCTCACGAATGTGTGTGCCATAGTTGGCGGCATATTCACAGTGGCGGGTCTCTTAGACGGGATGGTGTATTTTGGACACAACGCCCTAAAGAAGAAAGTGGAGCTGGGAAAATTGAGTTAGTTTGTTATTCCTGGGTTGCTTTTGCGTTTCCACAAAGAGATAGTTTATATATTAGACGGCGAAGAAATGCTACTGGAGCCAACAGTATATGGTTTTACATATTTTGTTTGCTGAACTGGCTCACACTTGTTGCTCATCAGCGTACTGCTCCGTATCATGGATATCGTACAGGGTAAGTGTTTCCCACATCATCCCCCGGACTCTGGATATCCAATAGGATACGGGGACAATATTCTAGATGTGCAGGCTGCATACCTACGATTGCAATTCACATTCGAAGACTCTGTATTGTATAAAACTACCCCACAAGAAGTCTCCATTTGGAAAAGCAACGCAAACACAAAGAAAAATGGGTTTATGGATTGCCTCCCAGATAGATGTCATCGGCATGCCACGACCTGTACTAGTCTGCTTTCTTAAAAGATAGTTGATACAACGTTCGAGCATGGTCTCTATTGATCCCGCCGCAGTGCTCCAAGAAGTAATCAATGTGCAAACATCTAAAATGAGGATCGCCTCGAAACCAACTCGTCCCCGCGGTCAAGAGCATGACCATTAGACCATCAGTCCTCTTCACCATCCCTATCTTTCTTCTTCTTTTTGCTTTTTCTCTTCTTTTCCACCTTTTCGACGGCCTCCTCATCGGGATCCTCCCCTTCGTCTCCCTGGCCATCATTCTTCTTGCGCTCCTTCTTCTTGCGCCTCCTCTCTTTCGACGATCCCTCCACTTCATCGCCCTCGCCGTCCTCGTCTCTTGCCCCACTCCGCACCTTTCCGTGTTCATCCGCCTCGCCGTCGCTGCCCGCATCCACCCTATGCCGCTCGGCGTCGTCGGCCTCGTCTCGGTTCTTCTTCTCCTTCTTGCTTTTCCTCCTTTCCTTCTTGTGGCTGGAACTTTCGCGGGCGTCGGCGCCCAGCAGCGACGTCTCCTCGTCATCCTGGCCATCCGCAGTCTTGTTGTCCTTCTCCTTGCCCTTGTCTCTGTGCCTTCTGCTCTTGCGGCGTATATCCCTGGCGTACCCGGGAGGTTCGCTCTCCACAACGGAGCTGAGCTCAGGTAGGTCCTTTTCCGGGGAGCCTGCCAGCGCACCCGCCAATTCCAAAGCAGAGGTGTCCCCATTTTGTTTGGCTTCAGGCACGAGGACAATCTCGTCGATTCCCTCTGCGTAAGGGGTGTCAAAGAACAGTGTGAATCGAAATGGACAATCTATGAACTTTGAATATTTGATCCTGAATGTATGGTGTAGTTTATGTCGATTAAGATTTTTGGGGGGCGTTTGGACTCATCGAATTTGATGTACGAAAAAAACGATGCAAGAATGCTGCAAGATAGAAGGTCAAGGACATGAAAAGACACAATTCCCTTTCGCTGCCAAGCACATCTTTCTCGCGAATCACGTTAATGCACAAGCACATCCGATCTTTGCAAAACGTCGCTGCACCAACGCAGTATGCACTGCTCCAAGCGCGCACCATCATCTTTCGAATCTCCCTTTTCTTCCCACGCAACAGCTCTGCTTTTTTCCTGGGCGCAGTCCACCTCAGCTCCGCTTTCAATGTCGCATCGCACTTCGCCAATCAGAACCTGTACCCTCCTCACCATGGCGCAGTCGGCCTCGCTGCCTTGCTCCAGCAGCACATCCATGGGCTCCTGCGGCCCAAATGGATAATCCCAGTTCAAAAGCCCTTGCACTCGCAGTTTTGCACCGCCGAGGTGTGCCAGAGGCATGTTTATATGGCAGCAACATGTCGGCAGCTTGCCTAATGGCGTCCAGCTGCTGTGCGTAATACCGTTCACAGTGATGTGAAATTCACATTGTGAATGCATCGAGAAAAGAAGGTTCCGAAGGGTGCCTGATCTTGGAAGCAGCAGGAAAACGTAACATGGCACGTGGCAACACAGTGCTGGAGAAAAGCATTGGAAAACTTGGAATGGCAAATAGGAAATGAAACAATAGATAATATCCATTGCTTATGCAGCATTTCTTGTTGGGTATTTCTACGCATAGTGTGCGCAGAGCGTGTGGTGCACTTGCGCATGTGGACAGTTGTCGGATACTTCCCGATAGTTTTCGACGTGCAATCGCGAGAGTGTAGGGAAACGCTCGCTACGAGCTTTGCTCGTCCTCAAGGCACCGACCTTCAAAGATTCATAATCGCCAACATCCTCGCCCCCGTCCTCCAAATCATTCAATAGATTCCTCACCTTGATGAAAGCAGAGTTGGTTGTTTCAAAGATGGTTCCTCCGTGAATATGCAGTGCAATATTGATAGCAAAGTTGAGTAATTTACGCAAAGAGCAGCACTACAGTTCAGTGCATTTGGAACTGTCCTCCATCTGATTCAAACTTCACATCAGACGCAAGCCGCATGAGCATTACCAGCTACCTATAGCACAAAGTGGCTTTGGTGAAAATATGGCCGTGGGTGCCAGCTCATTATTGTAACCCTTGGTTCAGTTTTTTCAATGCAATAATTGAACCGTTTGGTTGCCTTGAGTCCTTCTTAATCTGTGCCTGCTGGCTTTGCCAATTTGTGCATATTGCATCAATGAATGCCTGAGATAACAGCGGTCTTCTAGTTCATTACAAACTCAAGGCTGATGTGATATGAACCGCCACGAGCGGTCATGATCATAGACATGCGGCCCACATGGCATTCAATTATAGATACTGCTGAGCAGCTACAGTGTTTCCCGCAGCCGCTGCATAACTCTGAACGGGTTGAATTAATCTGTTCTCGACGGGCGCCCGCTGCATCAAATGTGGCACGATGAAGTGTGCTTCCATTAAGATATAGGAGGCATTATTCATGTCCATTATACTATATTCCGTCAGCAAATCTCTCGTTGTGTAATCTAGAACGGCGAGCTGAGCCCATGGCTTGGCAACCACGATTTGGGTTTGAAGAGTGACAGCGCAGGCACGCTTCAAGTTTGATTTTTGAGGAGCGGTGCGCTTCCCATTTCACTGCCGCAAATAGCCAAATGTTCATGCCCTCTTCGCTCCTTTCGAAATTCCTTGAGGTCAGTTCCCCGATGAATTCCAATTTTATCTACCGCGCTGGGTGTCAGCATTCCCTTCAGCGTGGACGTCCAAGAAGAATCCGAACATAACCGCACCTGAGCCCGTGCCTCCCCGACTTTCTTGTCATCAATACTGCGCAAGCTCTCTATTCGGACAAAAGCTGCCAAGCTCCACACCACGGGTAGTCCCATTGCCATCACCATCACCGCGCCCTGATATGCGCAAACAGATGCGATGCTCACCGCCAATCTGGACATGCTTCCAAACATGCACAAAGGCGAGCCTTTCAGAGGCGCCCCTCCAAGTGATATGTATTTCTTTAAAGCCTTTGTGCGTATTGACACATTTAAGATGGCAAGCTTCCCAGGTTCAACGCATTTATTACGTAACCTAGTAACTTGCCGATCCATTGCGCTTAGAGACTGTATGCGAAACGACCTTTCTCCAGCGACGCGAAACTAAAAGGTTGCCGCTTAAAAAACGAACCCCAAATATCACTCCCATTAGTGATTCCGCGAAACGGCTCAACAAGGATCACATAACATCGGAACTCCGCGCTCTTTGATGCTAATGTTGTCAACATGCGCGGCAATCGCTGGTTGCCGTGCAGAAAGGCTGGCACATGCAACAGAACCCATATAACGTGATCCTTGTTGAAGCGCATTTGCAAGAGATCCCACGAGGGTAATACTGGTCTTTCGAAAACTGCGGAGAGATTTGCAGTTTTCTTTTCATATGATTATGTGAATTCTTACATAAGAATGGGCACGGTGAAACGCGAAGTAGGATCACAGTCGATGAACATGCAGTCAGATAGTTTGACCTTCGCGCCATTTTTCATTTGCTTTGGAGAACAGCCGTTTGTTGCGGGCATGCATCTCCAAGGAAGACAGCTTCCTGGATGTTAATAAACATCTTATTAAACATCTACAGTACGAGCATATGCATTGTGCGACTGTTCCCTGGAGGTTGTCGGTTCAGTCTGGACTGATTATTCAGGCTCACTGACTTTGTGAGGCTGAGTGGTTGGTCCAGCAAAGTCTCCTGGCTACAATTCTCCAGGCTGGTTTTCAATTCGATATGCTTATTCAAGAAACGCAGATCTCTTCTATTCAGCAATCACACCGGAGACTTCCACATTCGAGGGGCATATGATTTGCCCTTACCACGTATGGCGTCAAAGACGCCGTCTTCAACGTTTCGTCGCAAATGTCATTCGGCCAGGCGCTGCATTCCGCGCATTGCCCGGAGCTCTCTGACTCAGTGAGGTTCGCCTAGCCGCAGCAGTAAATATACGGACGGTTAAGCGTCTTGTGCCATTTCCAATTGGTGTGTCGCATCGGTGTCGGCATTTTGGGCGCAAAGCGGGCCGTCTCCAAGGTTCCAAGGAGCCAGCTGCTCCGATTTGTGGTTCTGAGATTTGGAGAACTTCATTCATCCCATCTGTGCATATATGCACTGTGCATATGCACAAGTATCCACTTAGAGGGAAGCACAGGCAAGCTGCAGTTTCGCTGTTACTTTTACAGCACACAAATTTCGGATCTGAAATTTTCGAGTCAGGAAAGAGAACGACGAAAGTTCGTCGGTAAATTAGAAACAGTTACAATGTGCCGCCATCTGTCAAGTTTGGCCCCTATTTTTGCCAAAGATGATGACAGGAAACAGGGAGCATAAGGTTTGCACATACGCAGATTCGCGTGTCGTGCTGAGAATTGATGGTACAACAACATGCGGCATTTATACGGATACTTGCAGGTTCCGCTCGTTGTATTTTCGATCAAGGAATAATTCGCGAGCAAACATCGGGGATTGTTGCCATAGTCCACAATAAATATCCCATATGCAGTGTTGACTCTATTTCATGCTTCATGCATTCACCAAAGCCCCTTGTTGTATTGTTCGGTGCAGCACTGCGGCCACGACTGCCAAATCGAGCGGGCCTGAAGGAGAGCCAGTCGAGGCAGACACGGA